TGGGTGTTCTTTTTTAGTCCAGTGAAATTCAGGTTTTATGGTTGCATTTTTTTCCCAGCCATGTTTTTCTTTTGGATTTTTTTTTTCTCAACAGGAAATAGAAAATAAACATCTGACCTTAGCATAGTTAACCTCAAATAAATTAATCTGTGGAATGAAAATCAGACAAATAAATCAAGGTGTATATATTCTGAAGGGAAATTGCAAACTGGAGCTCATGATACAATGTTGCTTGCACAATGAAATGCCTTATAAGGTACTCAAAACGTTGAAAAATTATGAGCATCCTTAACTTTTGAAAAGACTATACAAAATTCAAAGTAAATGACTGAAAGAAAATATAAAATCACACTTTAGTCACATCCATCTTATGTCTTTGAGTCTTCAGGTTGATCTTGAGGTTGAAGCTTAAGAACAGTAATGAGAGCATACATATATCTTGTACACTTACTGAGTATTGCTGGTTCTAAAACGCTTTTCCAAATACTGTGGTCTTCAGAGATACCATGGTTATTTTGTATGGCAGATAACATATTTTTCCAGTGCATAAGCATCTCAGTAGCCAAGTGTCCTGAGTATTGAGTTTATTCTACTTCTGTCCCTGAGAACTGGTTCCTGTAATATCATAGTCGAATGGACTGGCCAAAGAAAAAAAGGAGAAGTTATTCTAAATGGAAGCTCTAATTTGTAGCAGTTTATTTGCTGAAGGTGGAATGACTCAAGATTTTTTTGGAAAATAAATAGATTTACAGGAACCAACTGTCTTCTTAACACAAGAACACAACTGCTTCTGATTTTTTTAAAAATCTATTATCTACTCAATTTCTTTCCACAGCTATAACACAGTACAGTAATTCTACTTGAAGAATTAGGAGGGTTAGGGATCCCTGGGTGGCTCAGTCAGTTAGGCCTCAGCCTTCAGCTCAGGTCATGATGCCAGGGTCCTGGGATCAAGTCCCACATCAGGCTCCTTCCCTGGTGGGGAGCCTGCTGCTCCCCCTGCTTGTGCTCTCTCTCTCTCTGACAAATAAATAAGTAAAATCTTAAAAAAAAAAAAAAATAGGAGGGTTAGATGAGAAAATGGAAGAAAAGGTGTGAAGTATCAATCTATCCTAGGTCCCTTTGGACCCATTTTCTTTTGTTCCCACCCCCAGTAATGATCTATTAATATGTTGTTGATGTTGATTCTCAGAGCTAAAGTAACTGGGAATGGAGGAGAATAATAATTATATCCTTAACTATTACTTTATCACTTCTGCATAAGGAAATGCTAGTAGATAAAAATTAAGAACCCCTTAAATGCTCAAATGTACATGTACTTATCAAGAATACAAATTTTCCAATACATGAAAAAAATTATCTCAGTCTGAGATAACTGTATCTCTAGATTTCATTTTTATTTTATTCTATTTTTTTAGTGGGGGAGGGACAAAGAGAGAGGGGGAGAGAGAATCTTAAGCAGGCTCCGCACCCATTGGGGAGTCCAATGCGGGACTCAGTATCCCGACCCTGAGATACTGACGTGAGCCGAAATCAAAAGTCGGATGCTTAACTGACTGAGCCACCCAGGTGCCCCAAGATTTCATTTTTAAAGAGAAAAAATAAGCTTCCTTATACCCTGGAGCTGCTTGACAAAACAGCATATTTTCTGTATAATAAATTTTTAAAAATTTAACTCACCAAAATAAGAATGACAGTAATAAAGAAATAGCAAGAGAGCACCCATAAACAATACAAATGTTGAGTAAGAGTGTGAGAAAGAAAATCCCATGGCTGTTCGCACTCGTCTTAAAAAAAAATAGGTCTGAAAACACCACTCCACTCTAGTTCAGTGACACTTTTGTTGAAATTTTTTTTTTAGATGGGGAAGGGAATAATTAATCACTAACAGAAATTTTGTAAAACATACCTATAGAAGTCAAAGTCAAGATGGGCTTAATTTATTCTGACCAGGGATGTAGCAACATAAACATCTCTTAAATTGTTCATTTTTCCAGTAGAAAATTCCCCTCCTGGAGACCTCAATATTGACTTGGACCCAAGCTAATTCAAACACAAGTTCATTTAAAAAAGTAAACACACAAAATAACCTTGTCCTTGCCTAGGTCTTCAGTAAACAAGAGAAGAGTATGTGTTTTAAGAATATATCTACATCGGGGCGCCTTGGTGGCTCAGTTGGTTAAGCGACTGCCTTCGGCTCGGGTCATGATCCTGGAGTCCCTGGATCGAGTCCTGCATCGGGCTCCCTGCTCAATGGGGAGTCTGCTTCTCCCTCTGACCCTCCCCTGTCTCATGTGCTCTCTCTCTCAAATGAATAAATAAAATCTAAAAAAATATATATATATATATATATATATATATATATATATATATCTACATCTATCTTGAACTCAAAATAAAATGTGTTTTTTTTTTCCTGACCTAGTTATTGAAGAATCCTGTTGATGAAATTCAGCTTTGTTTTATAAATAATGCAATGCTTGCTTGTGAGTAGCTGAACCGAATCAGATACCCAGTGAGAGAGGATATTGCTAGCAGACCCTTACTATTACCAGGAATACACGATCTCACACATTTTTCAGGTGGAGGGCTCTGGGTGGCAATAGGTTCAGTAAACCACTCTAGAAGCCAGCAATCCCCTTCCTGCCTGGGTCGGGACTCTTCGTTAACATACAGCCTCTTTCCTGATTGTGGCTGGCAGACAAGTTTTTGGAGCAAAAGTCTCACTCAAGGCCCTTTTCCTCACAAGGCTCATACCTGTTTCTCATTGCTTCCTTTCTCGCTGCTTATTTCTGGTTTTGAGAGTTTGGTGTGGACTTATATTCAGTTTCTGAATTGGAAAAAAGAAAGGGGAGAGAGAAACATGGACTCCATGAAATGTGAAAGCCCATGACTGTTTAAGTGACAGTGGAATCGTGAGTGAAGATAAAGTTTGACAAGGTGGGCGGAGAGCCAGTGCCAAGGGCAGTTGCTTGACAGTGTAGATGGGCGCGGCAAGAGGTGGGTGAGTCCTTGGGGGAAGATCTTACTGAATTTAGACCATCCTTTCCCATAGGTAGTGCTTTCACCTCAGACATTGATTTCAAGGGCTCCCAAGCCTAAAGAAATAAGCAAAAGATCAAGTTTTAAGAAGGCAGATTTCCCCGGGAAGCTTCCTCTTACAGGTGGTCAACAGGGAAACAAGAATTGCTCTCACCGTGTTCACTGGACATCCCTTAAATCTTTGGGAGGTCAGAGAGCTTTGCTCAACATCTCCCCCTGCCAAAAAAAAAAAAGTTTCTTTAGAAGATTTTGAGTCCTGGCTGTGATAAGTTTTCTGTAATCACTTCCAAAATCATTCTTAGACCCAGACTTCCTAGGAGACCTTTGTGGGCAGAGTGCATGAGCAGATCCAAGGGCATTTTGTCTCTCATCATAGTTCTGATATCCCTTAGTGGAATCTCAGAGAAAGAGAGAGCCAAGGACTTGCTTCCCTCAGGACTGTGAGGCTGGGGGTGATGGGGCTACCCCCAGGGACCTCGGGTTGTCTTTGCCTGAGTGAAGGTGACCCGAGAGAAGCAAACCACAGTGCCGTGTGCTGGCCCAGTGTGTTTTCCTTTTCCCAGCTTCCTCTCATAATATCTCTCTCTCCAACAGCCTCTACAGCCATTGAGAGTAATTAAGGCTTTCAGGCTTTGGGAGGCCATAACATGCCACTGAATAGATTCTATCCCTTGTCAGTCATGAAGAGCATCACCTGGCATGTCTTCCTGAAAATGCTAGTTCTGGGGCATGTTCGTCGTGTTCCTTGCTGCTCTAGAAGGGAGTAGGGAAGGGAGGATTACATGGTCAAATAAACTTAGGAAACTTGGTTTAAGCAAAGATTTAAAACAAAACAAAACAAAACCCATGAGACTTGTCTTGTCAGCCTTTTAATAGGACGCCCTTCTGTCCGCAAATAAATTGATCTTCTTAGAAGGTACGGAACAGAGTGGGAGGAGGCAAGCCTGTCATTTGATCGTCAAGAGGCTTGACAAGTACACATCGTATTTTCATTTCTTGGCATTCCTACATTAAGAGCCAGTTCCGCGGGCTTATGCAGAGTACTCCAGGTGACAGAGATGGAGTGAACCTCTTAGTCTGCTAAATATTCTGCTCTAAATATAGCAGAAACAACTAAACTGTGGAGCTGTGCGGATTTGCCTTCTTGATGGTTTTGAGTTAAGGAAGTAAATTGATTCCCTTCCTTCCTTAATCAGCATAAATTTGGTTTACTGATGTATCCCCGATCCTCCTTTACATTTGCTTTTGAACATTGGGAATGCTATTTTCACTTCGTCGTGCATTATTTAAATTTTTTAAAAAGTGTTTGTCGGGATTTTCATTTGAGAACTGTATCAGGCCAGTTGGTACCAAATTACAGTAGGAGGAGGGAAAGGAGATAAAATGGAAAAAGAGAGCCAAGATGGAAAGCCATTTTAGGGATAAAGTTTGTTTTTATGGGAAGACCTTGTGTATTACCCTTTCTCAATAATGGTGGTCTTAGGGATCTTCCAGTCCAAGTATGTTAATGAAGATGCCCTCATCCAAGGAACCCCCAGTGTCTTGTGTACATAGTGGGCACCGTAGAAGCTGCTGGTCAGCAGTCCCACCAGCCCAGAAACTCAGAGGCAATGAGGCAGTGAGGATTTTCTGCCAAAGCAAATTGAAAGTAATATAGGCTCCAAAGGATTAAAATTTGTTTGACCCTGATAGATTTGCATAGTTTATTTTTGCACCATTTGGGGGTTATTATACCACTAAGGGTCAAAGATCTGCTTCCATATTTATATGCCCTCAGCTGCACACATAGTTGACCATTAAGATTTCACATGGACAAACCATTAAAATAAAGGAAGAATTCAGTGTTTGATTTTGATTGTGGCATTCCTGGGGTGGCGGGGGGGAGAGGGAGAACAAGCCCATCGTGCCCAGCTTAGCAGTTTTTGAACAATCATGGCTGAATATTTCTAATTTTCCAGGTTGTATCCTCGCCACGCAAGTGCCCTGAACAACCTTGGAACACTGACGAGAGACGCAGCAGAGGCAAAGAGGTGCTATCAGAGGGCTCTCCAGCTAAATCCACAGCACAGCCGGGCTCTCTTCAATCTTGGAAATCTCCTTAAGTAAGTAGAACGGATACCTTTCATCGGGCAGTCTTGTAATTTCAGGAAATCCTTTCCTTCTTAATACTCATTTGGTTGTGCTCCTGTCTCCTCTTCCCAGAGTGGAATAATTACGATTTTCAAGCTTTGAGAGGAGGTCATGTTCATCTGAAATAATTCTATGCCTCCTCAGTCTAAAAGAATATTTCCCAGAGTGACTCTCTGGAAGTGTTAGCTCTGGGAGATGTCCCTGGGTGGTCTGTAGAGGGGTGGGGATAGGGAAGGGTTACATGGTCAGGTAAACTTAGGAAATGCTGAGTTAGACCAAGAGGACTCCCACTCTTGTAAGAACCGTTAATACGCTAAATGCCCTGTGAATCTTCAAGAAGGCAGTATGGAATACGACATTGCCCAAAGTCAAATTTTTTTTTTTTTTGGTAAGGCATTTCCCAAGTATTCCATGAACATTCTTTGGGCAAAGCGCTCATCTAGGAAGAGCAGTGAGCTCTAAAGCTGTGGCCAGATGACATAACCACGACTCGTGTTCAGCGTATACTAGTGGTAAGAAATGGAGCAAGGCCTGTCTTGACTTAGTAATGGTAACTCTTGCTAAGATCTTAGGGAGACCTGCCAGGTACAATCAGTCGCTGGTGTTTGCTTTTCACTCACCGCCCTGTAAAAGGTTGACAGTGCAATTAGTATTACTGAAGACTAAAACAGGGGTACTTCTGCATCTTGTATCTTTATTAATACAAAGTCTAGGCATCTTGGTGATGGTGTGGGCACCTGTAGTTTTGACAATAATGAAATGGTGGAAGTTATGGAATTTAATTTCTAAACTTAAGAAAACAGGATGAAAACATCAGAAGTGGAAATTGGGTGAAAAATGTTTGGAATGAGAGTGCGGTGATGTATTTATCTCTGCTTGTTGGGATACTGACATTCTACACACTTACTGGGGGCCCCTGGGTGGCTCAGTCAGTTGAGCGAGCGTCTGACTCATGGTTTCAGCTCAGGTCATGATCCAGGGTCATGAGATCGGGGCCCATGTCAGGCTCCATGGTCAGCATGGGGTCTGCTTGAGATTCCTCCTCTCTCTCTCCCTCTGCCCCTTCCCCCTTGCTCTCTCTCTCTCTGTCTCTCTCTTTCCCTAAAATAAATAAATAAATCTTTAAAAAAAAAAAATCTCCACACTTACTGAATTGGTTTCCAAGTCTCTAAACTTCTAGAGCACTCGTCCGTTACCTTTAAAGCTGATGGTTTGCTTTGTTCTCTTGTCCACTCACTAACGGGATTGTCTTCATTGCCTCACTAACTCCATATGATGCAACTTCTTCACCTTCCTGTTTACTCCTTGAATTTGACATATACAGGTAGATATTGGTCCTTTTTCCTAATGTGTGTGTTAATGTGTGTTTTTATCTAATCCTGTTTGGGCAGAAGCGCTGGGGTGGGTTAATCACAGAACAATCTAATATGGTATTACATGATAGGTGCCATCCTGAGTCTGTTTTCTGTTTAGGAATAGCTTTGTCCATTACTGGAGCACAAAATCAGGGAATACTATACAAAAATAAGTAAATGCGGAGAAAGTACAATTCAAATGAAAGGAATAAAAGTATAAATCAGCAAAAACCAAATACACTTATTTTTTCAAATTAGAGAATTTTTTGTTACAATTTGATACACATTGAGAATGCTGAGAAACAATGAAGAATGAAGTGGGACACACTGTGACAGAAAAGCCATTTTAGTACTAGTCAGCTCCTATTAAAAACAATAACCAATCAAGAGATGTGGGGAAAATGAGTTCTAGTCATTGCAGGTAATAGCTGCAGGCCAGTGGGGTGCTTTGATTTTACTCAACTATTTTGATGAGCTCTTACTTATTTATATGACGTTCCAAGGACTCATTTTTTTAAAGTCATTGTTGGCATCTGTTTATGTCCTACCTTAGAGCCCAAATAATTTAATGGCCAGATAAAGTCCTGTCAGCGTCTTTGGGGTACCTGGACTATACAGTACTGATTTTAAAGACCACATCGATGAGTGTTTGTTGCCCTAAAGACCCAGCTTTAATGGCAGTTCTTGTTAGGAATAATGTCCTGCAGTGATGATGATCATATTGTGTTGAATGGGGCTCTACTTAAAAATGACAGTCGACAGTCCTTAAATTTCATCTTGCCAAGACCTGAGCAAGAGATGCATGCTCTAGCCTTCCTTTTTCAATCACATATTATTGCCATTAACAATCATCATGAATGAGTATATGTGAGTTAAAAGGACAAGGAATTATTTTTTGGACTATGGTAATGGCTATTTTTCACAGTAGGAGGGACTCCTGGATACTGAACATGGGATTTTTTCTCTCTTTGTCAGAGGTTTTGTCAAAATCAACTCTTGATGATTATCCAGACCAACAACAATGCTTTACATTTGCGTAAGACTGTAGTTTTCTGAGTGCATTTTTTTTTTTTTTAATGAGGCCCTTCTAGTAACTCTTTAAAGTAGACAGGGAAGAAGAGGGAATGAGGGTCCTGAAAAGTGGAGTACCTTGTACAAAGCCACTGTGGTTTGTCTTTTGCTCTTTTGATTTCTATCAGAGAGCAGAGTGGCTATATCCATGTAGATTATCCTTACAACCCAGTGGAATAAAACCATAATAGCTAACATTTACATAATACTTTACAGTTTACAGACAAGTATTTTCATACGCATTATTTAATTTAATCTTTAATCTACTGTGAAAGGTTTATCATCCACATCCCCATTTTACAGAACCAAGGCTCAGAGATCCCATGTGCCATTGGCCTAGGCTCTGGCAGATCCAGGATTGAATCCCTGCCCTTGGACTACTGTTCTATTCACTTGCCTTTACCCATGCTGCCCAAATAGCCCTCCAACCCAAAAATTACTTAATATTTAGCTGTTTAATGACATGTGATTGCCTTTGGGAGAAAAACCCATCATGGTTTTTTTTTTTTTTCTTTTAAGGAAACAGTAATGTTTGTTTACATTATGTCCCTCAGTAGCAGAGAGAGGTGACCCAGAAAATAGAGCTAATCCACATTTAATTAACTCTGAGTGTCATTTCCCCTTTCCTTAATGTATGTCTGCTATTAAGTAGCAATGGGTCAAAGACAAAAAAAAAAAAGGATATTTTAAATTGTGCTTGATCCGATCCATTTTACTATTTGTTTAAGATTTTTACCCTGTTTCTCATTAGGCAGCTAAGTTTTTTTAAATTGTGCCCTTTTTTTATAATTTAGAAGTTAATGCTCATTCTGAGAACCGGAGCATCTTTTTAGACACAAGCGTTCGATTTGGCCATCCTTGAGAGCAGGGCAATGTCCTCATTCCTGTTTTCTAAATGATGAAACGAAGGCTTGAGGAAGTAATGTGCCGAGGTGCCTTAGGGAGGAAAGAGAAGGCGTGGGAATTGAACCTCGACCTGTGTGACCACACTCGACTGCCTCCTTGTGGCTCCTCTCAAAACTGGGATACAGCCTGGAGCCTCACGGCCCCACAGAAATGTAATAAGAGTCAGGAACTGTGACTTAAAATTTTCAGGTGGCCGTATTTCAGGACATGAAGAAGGTGGAGTTAATTTTAATAGTATATTTTATTTAACCCCAGTATATCCAAAATATTATCATTTTAGCATGTGATTAATATTAAAAATTAATTTAAAATTGAACATGTAAAAATATTACTGAACTAGTGTGCAGTTTTGTAATAAGTAATCCTTGAAATCCAGTGTATGTTTTATACTTACAACCTATCTCAGCATAGTCATATTTCAAGTGTTCAATAGCCACATGGGGTTAGTGACTTCTGTACTGGACAGCACAGACCTTTATTAATGACCCTGACTTCGAGAGAAATGTAAGACTCTGTCCAGGCCAGAAGCTCTAAATAAAATGTGATTCTGTCAGAACATCCCAGAAATCTCATAGCACTGAAGACAAATTTCATTTGAATTCTTGGAATTATATGGCATACAGCTTTAGACCTGTTCATAGCAATAGATTTCAACGAATGTTATCCAAATATATTTGGCCTCTTTCATGACCATTTCACTGGACTTTGACGCTAATCTATTATGATTCTGTGCAGCATATTTAGCGTGTGACAGATTGATAAGGAACAGCTTTCCATGTCAGCATTCTTAATTTATATTAATTATTGTTGGCTTTGCTTAGAACCTAAAATGTAAAAGAAAACAGGCAAGATTAGCGTAAACTTTTTATGGATGGAAAGCGCAGAAGTCCCTGATGTCTCAAGAGAATATAATCGAATATTGTAAATTCAGGGCATGGGAAAATATTTTTGTGACTGCTTGGGTAAAAGAGTTGCTAGTGTTTGCTACCGAAACAGAATCTGAAAAGAACCTCTGGCAGAATTACATCATACCTCCCTCATTGCCAAAGCTCCCTTCTGTTCACATGATAGGATATGGGTGTTATATGGGTATTACAATAAATATTATAATCAAAATACGGCAGAAAGTGCAGTGGGATGTCTGATAATTGAACTATATAGAAGTTGAATTTCAAAAACAAAATACATTCTTTAGTCTGATCCTTTAGAAAATTAAATTCTAAAAAAGAAAAGGACATGGGAAGAAGGGTGAGCATTATCTTTGAAATAAATGTTTGGGATTAAATTTCTTTATAGCTGTGGCACTAGCTCCACCACCTTTTAGTTTATAAAAAGGAACTGATACATTCAAGATAGTAGTTCTTCTCTTCTCTGCTTTTCTACTGAAGCCTCAGAGAATCTGAAATGCCAGCCCACTGGATAAAGAAAAGCTTTTTGAGCTCCTTTCCACCACATGAGGATGTCAACTTTGTGTGGGCAAGTTCTGCACTCTCCCCTTGGAGGGAAATCTCACTCCTTGCCCCCACCCCTATGGTGACCTGTTAGTATTCAGGGTACTTCCAACCTTATTTATCTGTAGTCTCAATCCCATTACAGCCCCTCCCCAACTTGAATCAGTCGCCCAGTTCCTCTGCCAACTT